GGTTTTGCAGTACTGCAAGCGTCCATGTAGAATGGTGAAGACTTCAATGTTATCTTCTATATAGCTGCCCGAAAAGGCGAACCACGATCTGATGGGAATTTTCTCCGTCGGACAAGCTTCCTTTCCATTGTCGATCCGTAGATGAAGAGTTTTTTTTGGCAGTTTCTCATTAGAGCTGCCTTCCTTTCACAACCACTTATATCCTTTCTGTGTGTTGTTTGACTCAGTCGAGTCAATTCTGACTATTAATCGGCCATATTTAGTTCCGAAAACATGAATTTGGAGCAGTGATATTGTCACCATCTCGTGAGTTATCAATCCAGATCGCATCGGTAAGGAACCACTATAGTTCCCATACCATCTGCTATACTTGATCATCTTCAGGTTGCTGCTCCTTTTGCAGCGAAGCTAAACTATTCCATAGTTGTCACTGTGGGTGGAACGAAAGTGGAACAGAATTTGAAAAAGTTAAAAGGAGGGTAGGTCATTCACTGAGTGGTTGTGTTCCGTTGACTTGTTTTGTTGATCCGTACTTTTTCAGTGGAAATATATTGGTAGCGACGCCTGGTCGTCTTTTCCAATTGTTATCATTGGACAAAGATGGTAGCCTGAAGCGCGCATTAAAAACTGTAGAGATTCTTGTCATCGACGAGGCCGACCGGTTTAACGAGTCGCAATTTGAGATGCAGTAAGTTTATTGTTTATAAAAGCGTAGTTATCATCTCTGGGCTCGTTTGCTTGGCGAATCTAGCACAGTATGAACAAAACGTGCTGCAATGTCCTATAAATCGGAGCTTTGTTCAGAGCGGGGTTGCAGTAATTGGATGACTGCAGTCAGATTTATGGTTGAGTTTTTTGCCATCGTCTTGCCGCGAAAGGAGAGTGCAGCAGATGAGGGTGGCGAAAGGTGCGAAATATTCTCGGAGATGGGTCTTTCGGAGGGACGGTGGTTGTTCCATTCATATTCTGCAAGAAAGGAATGCCATGTAGAGAATAGGGTGCCTATGGGAGCAGAAAACTTGTCCCGTCAAATTGCCGTGCTGTAGCAGACCGTAAAACCTAACTTCTTCAAGGGGTAGGGGGGGGGAGGTGAGAAGAGGAGCTCCATTTAGTGCCCTTATGCTGGAATTGTGTAGAGCCGTTGCCCTATGTGCGTGTTTTTTTGAGTTCAAATGAAAGTCATATGCGTGGCGCGCTCCAAGGATATTCATGCAGTGCACATTCATTTTGGGGATTTTGGTCAGAGTCCTACGACACCCCCCATAGAAGGTGCTATTACCCCTAGTTTTCTCTTCTAATGTCGATTAAGGGTGGTGGTATACACAGTGTAACAGGAAGCACCGCGCAAGGGGTCAACAACCGTAGAAATTGTTTTCCCAAGCGCCTTTCTCTTAGGAGGCAAGCACGCACGTCCCCCCCCTCCCAACAACAAGGATACGACCCCCTCTCTCTTATAGCCTCAGTGGAACAATAAAAAAATCAACCATCAAAAAAATTCCTCTTCCCGATATCCCCCTCCTCCCTCCCAGCGACCGGATGCGACCTCTCTCCCTGTTGGGGAATCCCCAACGATAATGTGCTCTGTTTGGATGACGCTGAACATTCTATCTCTTTACTTACTTTTTATTTGTTGTGCAGTTTGAAGGAGATTCTGCTCGCATTACCGAAACAACGACGGACGGGACTTTTCTCAGCAACACAAGCAAAGGAATTGGAAGACTTGTCGTTATTTGGTTTGCGGAATAAGAAAGTCATAAAAATCAAGGAATCCAGCAATCTTGTTTCGCCTTCAACGCTCAACAACTATTACACAGTAAATCTTTTTTTGAAGAGTTCTGAACCACTGCTACTTAGCTCTCGATTTGCCTTTGTTTTGAGGTCTGCGAAGCAGCTGAAAAACTCATATGTGTTGTGGAATTCATTCGCAACAAACCTGACAAGAAAGTGCTTGTATTTTTCCCCTCTTGTGGAGGAGTGAAATATTTTCATACGGTGAGTCTGCTTATTTTTCATTTGTGCGTTTGAAAACAAATTCCACGACTGTATGATAAGTAGAATCTCTGTTTTGTAAAATAGCTCGCTCCGCACTCCTAGAGATTGGCCCGCTTATGTGGCTCTGTAATGTAATAAATGTTCTGCGATCGCCATAAACCGAAGAGGCACCACCCGTAAAAGTTGCTCCACCCATCTGGGAGCAGAATGTGGCAGCGGTCCCATTTCTTTGTACACGGGTTTGACGCGTTGCGTTTATTCTGTATGAGACTTGGCTCTCTCGTCTTCTAGCTCGTCTTCCTGCTCTCTATTCTGTTATCTCCCGCAATGTAACGCTTCTTTGAACAATTTAATCCCCCATGCAACATTATTCAGGTCTATTAGACCGTTTTCTCTCTCCTCTCAGCGATCAGCGAAATTCACATTATGTGCGACAACCCGAACGCAGATCTACCACTAACGACTTTTCGAAGGAGCATTGCCATTGCTTGGTAGGCTTGAATCCCTGTAGTGGCTGTCAACCATTGCACTCCGCGGGTCCTGTACGAGTGGGGTAAGATAGAGGAAGATGTGGTGAGTAAGGGTTTGAGGTCGTCGATCCGTCGCAGCTTCTACCACCCACCATAGAATGAAATCTCCAAGCGTGCACCACCGCGCCTCGCTAACTATTTCGTCTTTTTTCACTGTGAGCCTACTAGTGCACCCACTTTCGTTTTCAAGCCTCACTACCCTAGACTTTCGATTGTGGGATGTGACTTCGACACTTGCAGCCGTTTGTTGCTTGCCGCGATGAAAGATTTTTCCAGATATTAACTCGTGTCCTCACAAAACGGCCTTTGTACGCCGTCCATGGTCACAGCTCTCAGGCGGAACGGACCAAACAGGTACGAGTTCCTGCTCCAGTTGTTTTGACATGCAGTAATTACCCATGCCATTACTCTTGCAGATTGACGAATTCCGTAAAAGTGACAATGCAGTAATGCTGTCAACAGATGTGATGTCTCGTGGTATCGACATTCAAGACATTGACTGGGTCATACAATTTGAAGTACCCAAGCTATCCAGGTAGGGAAGGGTAGATAGAAAAAGACCTGGAGGGGGCATTGATGAGAAGTCCCGGTGCAACCCGAAATCCCACTTCGAGTGTATTCTCAATGCTGGAAGCATCCGTGGCTAGTAGATCCTCATATTACGTGGATCCCCGTGAGCTCAAAGCTGGACAGTTTTTTCCACCTCACGAGAGGGTCGCATGTCTGCCGTTGAGCCATCGAAACATACTAGTTAGACTTTTTGCTCATTGAAAATTTTGGCTATGAAAAAGCTGGAATCAGACTGCCAGCCTTTGAGGCTGAGGATCTCCTGAAACTCTAGGTATTAATTGTAAGCGAGAAATTTTGCTTTTGCTTTGATTAGGCTCCTTTGCGCCAAAAGCTCACCACTTTGTGCCAAAACACCAATTTCAGTTGGTTTGTTCACCGATCTGGTCGTACAGCTCGTTGTGGACGAGAGGGGAAACGCGTTGTTAGTCCTTTCACCACAGCAAACTGCCTACGTTGGATATCTAGCCAAGCACGAGAAAGTGGGTATTTGTTTGGAGATTTGCTGTGACTCATGGCACAAATTATCTAAGTAGTTTCTTGTTCAGGTTGAGTTGAAACAGATCTCAGTGCCAAGCAGTAATGCTCAAAAAGCTAGTCAACTCCGAGAGAAAATTATTAAAATAGTGTGCTCGGACCGGTGAGTTATTCTCATCATGTTATAGTGGTAAAGGATCCGCTGGTAAGGGTTACTCCCTGGATCTACCTGGCCCAGAGCCCCAAACCTCGGCAAAGGTCAATTGGCAGCAAGCTTGTTGGGAAAGATGAAAAGGTTGGCTTGAACAGGAGCTGGCAATCTCCTGTAGTTCTTTTAGGTTTTTAGTTTTTTCAAAGTATTCAATAAAGGGCGCCGTATTGGGGAAACCTCAGTGGGAGCAGCCGTCAGGGCGCATCGTGCCGTTGGGTAAAACCTTTCGAAATACGACCCACCCCCTCGGAATTTGCTCCACTGTTGCAACTTCCCCTTCCCCATGCCCCCATCCTTTCCACCATCTTCCGAGTTGTCCCACTTTTCTACCACTTTTGTTGTTTTTATTTTCTGAGAGTTTCCCCGTTTTCTCCAAGAAACTGCCGTAGAATGGGGGAGGGTATATAGCACTCCTTAAAAGGGCTAAAAAAAGCCAACAACCGAAAAGCAATTCCCACAAAGGCGATCACGACCCTCTCGCTGAGAATTCCGACGCCCAGTGAATCCTGGGAAACCTATTCTGGTCTTTCTTTAGGAAGGAACGCATTTTTCTGGCGAAGGGGCCCGTATAAAGTGGAAGGGGCAAGGGAATTTTGCATATATTTCAATTGGTTGCTGGTGTATAGAACCTACTCTGTCAACCATTGATGAGTTTTTTTGCTAGGAAATTGGAGGGAAGTGCGTGGGTGAAGTTGCTCTTCTAAGGTGCAGCGGGTCTTACTCGAGGCGTCCAGGGATAGGGACCATGGCGAACGACTAGTTGAAGTGCCCTGAATCCAAGTCCATCAAATACTCTGACCTTTCATCTTTTGAGGAAATAATAAAAGGTTAACAAAGAATTGTTTCAGTGAAATTTTGGAAACAGGCACGAGAGCATTCGTTTGTCATATTGAGAGTTACGTGAAGCACGATTGCAACATCGTTTGTGGCCTGAAAGGTGACCTCTTGAACAATTTCTCTGAATTTCTTATTGTACTGCACGGACTTTTGTTTTAAGACCTTGATGTTACTGGACTCGCTCATGCGTACGGTCTGCTTCGGTTACCAAAAATGAGAGAACTTAGTGGGCGGACAGATCTCGACAAATTCCAGCGAAGTGACATCGATACCTCAACGATCAAATACGCAAATCCGGCCCTGGAAAAGAAGCGAGCCGAGGTAAAGACCTTAGTAATGTAGCCCCCTTAGTAATGCTGGTGCTTGATATTTCTTATCGTTTTAAGATAATGGCTGCCAAAGCACGAGAAGAGGGTGAAAGCGATGAAAGAGAAATTGGCGAAGAAAAATGCTGAGAAGAAATCTGGCGACAAAAAGTTGAAGGCGCGAAAAAAAATGGTGTGAAGACCGCAGCCAAGTCAGAGGTGGGAACGAATTTGTTCAGCACATAACATCTTTAGGCGATATCTAATAGTAAGTACTGGCCTGTCTTGGAGCCTCATGGTATAATCTGAACGCAGTGCGGAGAGTCTCGGCTGTCGCCGAGCTCTCCTCCTTCTTTTTAGCTCGGTTTCGCCGAGCTGGCCTGGCTTCGACAGCCGCGCTCCATAATTTTAAGGGAACGTTTTCAATGATGGGCTGCTCATACGGCGCTGTAGTGATTGAATCGCAGCAGATAGAGCAAGGCTAGGATTCTGCACTACTGAGCACACGCTTCTATTTTTGGCAGACGAGGGGGGGGTGTGGTCAGCGCCATAACGCCCGTACATTACAGAGATCTGTAGATATAGATACAATTTGTAGTCGGCCTTTGTTAATCGTTCTCATAGTAAAAAGCTATTAATACGGCATGAAATTGCCAGACATTGTTTCAGGTTTTCTCTTCTCCTCGAAATTTCCCTGGGTTTTTCTGTATGCAGGCGGACTACATACCCCCCTCCTCGACGTCAAGCATTTAAGTAGGATAGTGGGAGAGTTCATTTTCTAGTGCTATCAGAGAAGTGATGGCTAAAGGAAACGTTTGCACACTGAGCCTTCAATACTTGGCAGTATAGTGATAAGAGATGTATTGAGAATGGCCCCTTATCCTTTCTTATCAATTGATAATTGATCTATTGATAAGATTGCCTGTCACCCGTCATCAATGTCCCTATCACTAAAACTCTATAATTTGGTAGTGTAAAGGCTCCAGCAATTTGACTGAACAGCAACGGCAACGTTCCTTATCACCCCTATCAGCTGTTATCACCTCCTGTCATCTGCCGTCTCGATGCCCCAGCTCCACTATATAATTTTTCTAGATCAACGCCTTAGCTGATGCTGTCCTATCCTATCGGGTTCATGAGTATGGTGTCCTTACCTCATTCTATATCCTCCCTTATCTCTATATCAAGCTGATATCAACTGTCTGTACCGCACCAACAAATCATGTCCCAGCACGCTCTGTATCCTAGACCTTGCAGCCAACGTCCGCACTGTGCTGTTGTCCGCACTATGCCCACTCGGTGACCCGCTCTCACTGCTTTGGAATCACTTTTACAGGCTTACTGGGACCGGAATTTCGTCGACCAGGCAAGACCAGACAGCACACAGTCCGCACCACACATCACCAGCACGACACAGACACACACACACACACACACACACACACACACACACACACACACACACACACACACACACACACACACACACACACACACACACACACACACACACACACACACACACACACACACACACACACACACACACACACACACACACACACACACACACACACACACACACACACACACACACACACACACACACACACACACACACACACACACACACACACACACACACACACACACACACACACACACACACACACACACACACACACACACACACACACACACACACACACACACACACACACACACACACACACACACACACACACACACACACACACACACCACACACACACACACCACGGACCGACATACGGATTATATATAGTAGGATGTTCGATCATATCAGATGGGAGATGGAAAAATAAAGTTCTAGGTTGTTATAGAACTAGGATCATGTGAATTTTCCAGAAATCAAAGTCTCTGAAGCGAAAACTGGAGAAAGACGCGCGCACGCTGAAGAACGCGAAGATTTTGAGAGTGATGTGAAATTGTTACGGAAAATAAAGAAAGGAAGACTCAGCAAGAAAGAGCTGCGAGATGTCTCATTCTAAATCCGTTGTATAATCTGTTACATTTGTTATCACGGTTGAAATGTATTGTTATTTTTGTTATGCTT